ACCGCTAGTATAGGTTCTTCTAGGTTTTTGAGGAACCACTGCAGAATATTTTAATACACGAGAACTGGAGCACACCAACAGCATTGGTACTGCACAAGTTTGGGTCCAAGCACAAAGACTATGTACACGTCAGTCTGACATCGATTTTGTTTAGGTGGCTAGAGCAATTATTGAGGAATCTTATTTTTTTGAACATGACAATCAGTCGATTGTCGACAATGGAAGTAGATGACTGCTCTTTTGTTCAATCGTAAGAGTGGGTGTTTATGCATGTGAACTAGCCAAACGCATAGTACCTCAAAGGTCAAGGCTAAGCCCATTGAGATTTTTATATTCAAGAACAATCTGACTCTAGGGGTTACCATGACCCATATCGCAGTGCCTAAAGGGGACCATCAAATCCAGGGAGAGCTGTTTAGGTTGAGTTAAAGTTATATCCATAAAACCTGAAATATTGATCCAACAGGGCGGATACAGGTTACCAGGAAAACGTGGATGCATTCAAGGTAGTCTACAAAGGGTCAGGTAACCCATATAAAGGTGTTTTGCAACCTTGCTTTGCTGCGGTTGAGGTGGTGGTCATTTGCCTAATTGATTTAAAAAAATTGTCATCAACGGAAAAACCTGTCAACCATCGTAAATACGCTCTCTTGATAATTGCAAAGAATGACTATTCCGTTCAATTAAAAGCAGTGGTGTATGATGCATGGATACTGCGTGCCACATCTGTTGGTGGTAAGTGGTAAATTTGTTAAACTACTGCCACGTACAGACTCACATCTGGGCTAGATGATCCCCACATGGGATTACCCATTCCAGCTGTTTACTCACCCTGGACAAATCATGAAATGTAAACAAACCATTGACTTCGAGAGGTATTTGTGTCAAAATGCTTCACGTTATTTGACATTTTGTTTTTGTAAGCATCTTCTTAACCTGACTTTGCACAACCTTCTCACATTTTGACTTGCTACATTCTTATACGACCGACTAATCACTTCTAATGCACCCTCACTGTATGCGTGGATTGTTGGCCCGCTTTGCAAGTTAATGATCGATCTCCGGCTATCGGAAAAGGACTGGTAACGCGTTCTTAATCATGTGACTTGTCTGGAATTTCATTCGATTTCACGTTGTTCAATAGAAGCGATGTGCATATCGGCGATCAAGATCGTATGGGATCTGCTGCGCTCTCTGTGTGACATGATCTGTCCACAAATGGGTCGTTTCAATTTTACTATCCTTGTTGTACCACTGCTGGGATGAAGATCAAAACGAAAAAAACCCTACCATATCACATCATGCTGATAATTTATTCTACTTTCCATGGCAAAGTCTTCCAGATTTGAAATTCTTGCTGTGATACCATTCCATCCATAACTTTAATTCAGTCTACAAGCACTGATGTTGTTTATTCCTTCTCCCGCAATTAACAGCCAAGCCGTCAATTCGAGTTGCCTTATCTTCTCTCCTTTTTTTCGTTAATGCAAAGTAAATTGCTCGACAGGCTTGGCCCATTCAAGGAGTTTTGGTACAATCTTTTTGTGATAAACAAGTTTAGCTCATTTTTCTCCCAAGTTTATTACCTATAAAATCCTCAACACAAATGTCTCTAATGTGGTTAGTTTGGTCACCGAAAGATAACGGAACACGGCATTTTGTACACTGTGGAATACGACCAAGTGGCAGTTTCAGTAAGTACAAGGGTTACCTATACACATTCGAGTCACTGGATTGGATTGTGTTTTCATTCTTCATAAGGATGGAATAACAGTGCGAACACTACAATCCATTGTTAACGGAAAAATAGAGAATTGAGCTAAAAGAAGCTTGCAAGTGTACTGAGTAAAGGCACAAGTGTCACAATTTACTACAATCAAACATATCATTCAGTGTATCTAAATATTGACCACAATGGACCCGCTACACTAGTATCACAGGCTTTATAAACCCAGGGAAGTCTCCCAGAGTTCACATAACATCAACCCAGGTCTCACTTTCAACGGCTCGTTCCATCTTCATCATTATCATTATCATTATCATAATCATCATCATCATTATCAACACCAACATCATCATCATCATCATCATCACCACCATCAAAAATATCATCATCATCATCATCATCATCATCATCATCAACACCATCATCATCATCATCATCATCATCATCATCATCATCATCATCATCATCATCATCATCATCATCATCATCAGCAGCAGCAGCAGCAGCATCAACATCATCATCATCATCATCATCACCATCATCATCACAGTCACCATCATCATTATCATCACCGTCATCATCACCATCATCATCATCATCGTACTCAGCATCATCATCATCATCAAAATCAA